CGCCTTGCCTGAGAAACAAAATATTCACGTAATGCCTTTTACTCTCGAATCGCTGGTATTCTAGAAAAAGCCTTCAATACACGTTTTCATTCAGATAACAAAAGAACATGCTTACAATAGCCCTCTATTCGGCTAGATCTCAACAATCATTAAACACTGATCATATTTCTATGCAGTTCTTCGCATACCGAAATACCGAAGGCTCACAGTCCGTCCCTACATATACAGAGCAGCCAAATTAAAACACAGGAAAACAAACACTTTTTTTCACAAACTGCTACTCCAAACGGATAAATTGATAATGCTTGTCATTTACATCTGACTATCAATCCAAATGACCATGTGTATGTGCTGTGGTGCTCTATGAAGTAAGGTACCAGACTAGAAAAGATTCAAAACACTGTTTTGATCAAATAATATCAAAAAAAATCTACTGTACATACTTATTACCACTACCTAAATTTGAATTGAAATGATCACGAGCACCCGTTCAGCTCCCTTATACACTAAGGTGTGAGACTCCAAAAGATTCTTTTTTCGTCAAATTCCACTCCAAAAATCTGCTATTCATACTGCTTACCTGTACTTGTTTGCAAGTTGAAATGACCATGAGCACTTGTTGTAGCCCTTTATTTACTTGGAGGTGAGACTCAAAAATACGAAAAAGACTCTTTTTGAATGGAAAGCTACTTGAAAAAGCCGTCTTTTTTTTGTAATCTTCAGAGTATGTCTGTAAGTCTCTCAGACTGTGTACCTGCCTGTGTTTGTGTGCTGTGTGAAAGGATAAAAGAGCAAGGTTAAAGGCCATGTTTTAATGAAAAATGAAGTGCTGAAGGGGAAGGCGCAATGGACTTTCATACAGATGCGCCAATATTTTCTCATGGACTTTTCTATGGAGATACCTTGCGTTCTCATGCACCATCGTGTAGAGGTACGCATAAGGGTGAAACGGTATCTCATGAAGGTTCTCATAGGTGCTGATTGGTTATCATATGGAGATATACAGAGGTCGTCAGGATGTATGGTGTAGAAATACCCGTGGGTCCTCATCGGGTTTTCTATCGAGTTATCCTCAGGTCTTTATGAGCTACTATATGGAGGTACCCATTGTTCCTAATAAGCCATTCGATGAAAGTACCCTTTGGTGGTGAAGAACTGTCCTATATAGTTACGGATGTGTCCTCAGGGAGTGTTATAAAGAAGTATCCATAGATCCTCAAGGGCTATTATATGGAAGTACCCATAGGTTCTGAAGGGCTACTATATGGAGGTACCTGCAGGTCCTTATTAGGTCTTTTGTAGAGGTGCCGAAAGGTGGGAGCGTGGGTACGGGTATAGGTGTGTCACTTCGATAGGCGCTCACACACCTGCACCCATGGCCATAGTCGGCGCGGGTATATTTCATCGCATGATCATTTCGTGGCGTTTACTTTGTCGCAGAACAATTTCTTTTGTTCTATTTGTTTCAGAAGTATTCCATCGTTTTGCTCGTTTTATCCTCGTTAATTCATTCTGTTTTTTTTAAATAACTAGTCAAAATGAAATAAACTAAATAAAAACTCTAGAAGATGTGTACAATTAGGATACAACATTAATGGCTGTAAAACGTAAGACTTGAATTCAGAAAACGATTCAATAAAAGCTTTTAATCAAACGAAATTCTGATAAAGCTGAAGTAAAAATAATCATGTTTGCAATTGTGTTAATCAGTTTCAAAATAAACTAGATCGACGATAATACTCCCGGGACGATGAATCCAGCTAAAGGATACCATCGAATCTTATCGGTGTCTTTAGTATTGAATTCTGTTGAAATTCTTGGAATCTCATAGGATGCGACGAGTTGACATTGACCTGAATGCTTATCCAATGTTTTTCAAAGTAGTTATTTAGATTATTTTCCCCTTTGGATGAATTTGTTCTTTTTTTCTTTTTTTGGTTTTCTTTTTCGTCTTGTTGTTTGCTTATTGGTTTCAAATTGGTCATGGTTGTTATATATGATACACATAATACAGATGAGTTAAATTGATCGATTTAATGTCTTTTAAAAAATTAAGAGAAATGAAATAGACAGAACGAAAGAAGTGTTATAAGACGAAGTACTGTGTCACGAGGTGATCGGTCACTGCCAGAGCCGCGCACAGCCAGAGTCACACCCATACGCATACCCTTACCGTTGATTATTAAGCTGAAAATAGGTGCTCTGAGTCTAGGTTTTAGCTTTTTTGTACATTGACAAACTGCGCAGGTGTGTGGTATGTTTTTCGATATATTATAATATCGTTTCTGACTTTCATACATCTTAGAGAGAAATAAGAGAATGTACATCAGAGTAGTAGCGAATACGTCGTTTTAAAAATTATGACTTTTATCAGAGTATTGTTTATGTCAGAGAGCAAAGCCCAAGGCACTTTCTTGACTTTCTAGAAACACAAATTTTTGTTACCTGTCGACTAGTATACTTTATCATGAGAGTATGTTATTGTTTTTAAATAATTGGAATTCGTCGATATTACCGATAATTTGCGTCGGAAGACAACAGCAAATAGTGATTCTATATATCGAACGAATAACAATAGATACAAATGGTGCGTCGCAATTTTATGCGATGAACGTATACAGTCGACAGATGGTTACAGAAGTCGTATACAGTGGACGTTTATGGCATTTGTTTACATCGACCGAAAATCATCGTCAAATGTTGTTCACGATCGCCGTAACGGCCTACCGTATACGGTCGTCGTGTTGTCACGTTAGTCGTTTCCGTTGATATTTTACAGTCAATGTTTACAAGTACGATATCATGTCGTAAAGCACCAGTTACGACTATTGTAAAATGGCACCGTGAACGGCTGACGTATACGATGTCTTACATTGTTTCTCTACCAAAGCCTACAGTCATTGTATGCGATTACCGGAATAGGCTGTAAACCGTCATTTTCTTCTGCCGTAAATAGCTAACGTGAACAGCCGCCATTATTCGTCGTATTTGGTTAGTGAACGACCGTTTATCTCTGGGCGTAACCCAATGTCTATGAAATTCTCTATTACAGTATGCAAAGGAGGGGACATAAATACAAAATTTCTACCCTTTGGGCTTCAACACTCTTCTCAGATCGTGTTTCACTAAAACGACTAAAGAATCCACCAGTAGACAGATTATTAATTGCAAAGAATCAGCTTTTAGCCCATGCTACCCTTCTCGTTGTTATAGACAGAATGAACTAACATGTATTATAGAAATAGATCCTGGCAAAAAAAAATCATACTCATGAATCACATTCCATAGTGTTCACAAGAAATTTGTCCCCATAGTATGATAGAAAATGACGGTCCTATCGTAAACAAGTTACAGTTGATTCATGAGACGCCTTATAATGTTATCTGATGAACATATGCAGTCGTCCCAGTGTCAAGCTGATTGTTACCATTGAATAGCTACTGTTATCATTTAAGGTAGTCGACATATGCCGTAAGTTGCCATTCACAGCTGCTGTAAATTACTGTTACACATAGCGGCTGTTATTCTTCGTAATTGCATGATAAAGAGTTGTATATCATCTTCGAGCATGATTAACATTAGTATAGTAGTGTAGTATATGAATTCGAGCATATTATCTTTTAAACCATTTTATAAGAACACTATTCATCAGGAATGATGTCAAAGTATGTTTAACATTGAGTGGACAAATTGAAACAGATGATTATTGAGGTATAGAGTTAGTCAGCATCAGAATAAACTTCGACAATATTCTCTAGAGTTAGATCAGGTAAGATTCAATTGTATGTCACAGACCAATATGTTGAAAATATTATCCCAAAAAAGTATCAAAACGATATTATTTCATACAGTTCTAGTACATCTGGTGTTGGATATATTTCTAACATTGTTAGAGTGAAGCTGATATAGTAGTCAGGAATTATACAAATTCTCAGTTTAATTCTAAATGTTAAGGTAATAAATAAGCTTTAGTTGAATTCTTTCAACAGTATAGTTAAGTAGTGCTGCTGGTAAATGTGTATTCGACTAAAATTTGTAATAAAAAATAATTCGTATAGAGTAATCCTGTCAATAAATACATATTTTTCGAAGCGGCTAAATGTATCTGCTCATTTCAGTTTCATGATCAATAGCACATTGTTAAAACTACAAAAAAGATTGAATATTCTGGTTTTCGTATATACCTTAACGACTGTCACATATTTATGTAGAAGGACTGCACCTATTAGAATCTGAAACTACACAGGTTTCTTTTAAAAAAAGGCTATTTTGACTATTTATTTGTAGAGACAGAAACGATATTAAAATGCATCCAAGAAAAGCAGATAAAGAGGGTAAGTGTTTATAACTTTTCATGGATTGTTAGAAGTATGCATGCTTGCATTTGGCACCATTGATCGAAATATTTAAGACAACAAGTCCCACTGTCAAATTGAATCCCTTGTTTTTCTTTCATTAGACAAACCTTGGCTCCAATGTCAATTTCATAGTTTCGATCAAACATCCATCAAGAAGCCTGATGAGCTCGGAATCAGTCAGAAAGATTTTGCTCCGTTGTCCACTACCAACAACGATCTCTTGAATCATATCCGAGGTTCAATGTTTGGTATGGCCATCGGCGATGCTCTTGGGGCTCACGTTGAATTCAGACCACACAGTTATCTGGCTACTAATCCAGTTAAAGATTTAGTTGGAGGAGGCACGTGGGGTCTAGAACGCGGACAGGTTAGAAAATCTAACAATAGCAGTTGTATCACAGTTACCTTTTATAGTTTACCGACGATACTTCTATGGCACTTTGTCTAGCCAATTCATTGATTGCTCGTCGAGGTTTTATTCCTTACGACCAGTTAGTCCGCTACAAGTGGTGGTATCGACACGGTTACATGTCATCGACTGGTCATTGTTTTGACATCGGTGCGGCCACCAGAGAGTCGATCGTAGAATTCGAAAGGCGGCAAAAGGAGTTTGCACAAAGTCATCAAATTCTGCTGGAAGAAATGGACTCATTATCCAACTGTGATCTTCTACAAGCATTCGATGTATACTGTAGCAAAGAAGGTGTGGCTGGCAACGGAGCTCTCATGCGTCTTGCACCTGTACCACTATTTTTCTGGCGACGTCCTGCAGTGGCCGTTGACTATTCTGGCATTAGTGGAAAAATTACTCATGGAGATAAACGAGTTTATGATGCATGTTGCTATTATGGAGCTCTTATTGTAGCTGCACTTAACGGAGAAACGAAGGATGATTTGCTTAGTGAAAAATTTTACACGAATCATCGAGAATGGTTTGGTGATGAAGATCTTCATGACGATATTAAGACCATCGCTTGCGGTTCGTACAAGAAACCAGGTGGTTATCACGATGGAATTCGAGGTAAAGGATTCATTGTGAATGCTCTGGAAGCTGCTTTATGGGCTTTTTGGAGTGATGGGAACTCCTTTGAAACAGGTGCCATTAACGCTGTTAATCTCGGTGATGACACTGATACAACAGCAGCCATCTATGGTCAATTAGCGGGTGCGCATTACGGTTACGAGAAGTTGCCAGAAAAATGGTTAAATTGTATCTACGCCAAAGATTTTATTCTATGTGTAAGTAGCTGGATTACCTATGAAGGAGAAAGATGGTTCAAAAACCATACAGTTCCTATCATCAGTACACTTATAAATTCTTTTGATAACACGTTGTATAATTCAAGACCAAGTGATTCTATAAATTTGACGACACCACGCATACGTACAAGCCTTGAAATTACTTCAGGTCTAGACATAGCGTTGGGCACAATTGTACGCAAAACTATCAATCCTAATGGTCGTATTGGAGTCTTTTATGATGCATGGCACGATCGTATTGTAGAAACATCAAGTATACAACTGAACATAAAGGAAGGCTACTCAAATTTACCTATAAAGTGTGAGATAAAACGTGGCGACAAGCTTGAAAATCAAAATGTACTTCGATTCATTGATTTTTCTGCTGACCTTCGTTTAAGTGTGTTATCGAATTTGGTTGAATTGACAGGTATTGCTTTAATTATTAACTATCCATTTGTAATTGATGAATGTACTCACATCTTCTACTACTCCCACCTGATTCGAAATCAAGCTTTACTTGACGAGAAAAACATCCTAAAAGAGGTGTACAAAGTACGCGCCACTCATATCATCACGGCGATAGATAAGGGTATCGATGTCGTAGTGCTGTTGAGATTACCAATTGATCATTCGAAAGCGATTGAAGAGAGCCTCGATCAAATATGCCAGTGCTTGAAGAATGAAACGCAACTAAATGTCAACGAACGCGCACTGGATGGAATTCTTTCTACATACATCTATTCGAACATGTCCCACTTAACTGAACAAACAACATTATTCAATGTTTGCCAAGAAATTCTCAAAATGAAGAATAAACTTACTGAGCTGCCATCTTGTAATTATATTCTTCATCCTATCAATATATTTTATATCAATCAAATTCAACAGCACACCAAATTTATTCCTATTGAACCACGAATAGCAACAAAGATTGAAGAACAGTGGCTTCGATCGTCCTCTATGGAAAAAATATGGAAAGCGTTTCAAGACAACACAGATTCCAATATTTGGCAAACTGCTCTTAAGAAACGGTTCGATGAGGTACAAATTAAAGTCTCACAATTCATAAAACAATATAATGATGCAAAGAAAAAAGGTCGAGATTTGATTCCGCACATTCGGCAAGGCGAAAGATTGCAAGAGCCTTTCGAACGTAGCTTACTAATTGAGGAAGAAACGGCATTGAAGGGTATCATCGATGATTTGAATCACTCTTTGAGAAAGTTGAAAGAGAAACATGATTTTGTGAAAGATTTGAAAACCCGAAGGCTTGACTATCGGAGTGCTGCCGATTATGATATCAAACGTGATGATAACGATGATGTGATCGAACGCAAGTTAGTTAAAAATAGGAGGCAACAACGTTTCATTTGCTCAAGCGACAGCTTAAACAAACTGTATTCGTCCAAATTGCAAGAAACACTGGTACAGCTGACTCAAGAACGCAAAAAAAATCCTGAATTGATTCTAGTTTATGTGGATTTCTCATCTTATTTGCACACATTAAACATGATAAAAATATTTCCCGTAACAATCTATAACAGCGAAGCCACTACTACTGTACGCGATTCTTTAGCACCATCACCAAAACAATTTGATCTATCACCAGCTTTGTCTTCTACGGATCAGAAGATTACTATTGTTCTTATAGGTAAATCCGGTGTTGGAAAATCGATGTTAATTAATACTATTGCCAATTGCTTAAAATTCAAGGAATTGCCTCAAGTTAAGTCGACTTCATCAGCTATGCATGTTGCTGTTCCGTTTCTCTTTCCCTTAAAGACTGATATATGCTCGCGTTTCATTTTAGTCGGAAAAGATGACTCTAACGAAAATTGTGGTCATCGTTATCCTGGTCAACCCAGAACTCAACGTTGCAAATTACATACATTTGACATCGAAAATGGACAAAATCTATGTATCGTTGATACTCCAGGCTTTTCTGATACAGGCAATCAACCTTATAATGAAACAACTATTCAACACATTCTACAATGCTTCTCCAATGTAAAGCACTTGAATGCTATTTGCGTTTTGATAGAATCAGGCGACTCGCAACTCACTAACTATCCACAATTTTTGAAATTGTTACTCGACTTCATTGGACGAGAAGCATATGAAAAGTTAGTTTTCTGTTTCACTAATTATTTATCCTGCCAAACTTATGCTAATCAAAGAATTGATCAAGTTCATAAACTGCTTCAATCACTATCATTTCATAATATTACTACGAAAACGAATAACATAATTTACTTCGACAGCATCTTCTTTTATCATTCAAGTACAGCACGTCACTACGATCGTCACGAACCGAATCTTGAAAAAAGTTGGTCTATTTCAAAGAAAGGAACGGAGTTACTTCTGCAATGTCTTCGTCAAATGGACCGTCCATGTTTGATAGATCGACGATCACAAAGATTAGAATATGCATCAATTGAAATTCTGCAGATGATTCGTCCAATAATGGAAACAATGCGAAATATTCTTCGAAACCATATTCTACACAAGTATGGATCTTCAACGAAATACATCGAGCTCTATCCAAAGATTATTCAACGACCTTCCGCTATATGCTATTCTTG